AGGTATATATATGAACATGCCCTTCATTTTATCTCCAGTGAAATGAGACCAAATCCCTTCTTCAATAACAGCTTAAAGCAAATAGAGAAAATAAAACAAAACTGGAATTTTTGGCTAATGAAAACAAACATTTCCCCCGTACAGAAATAAATGTTACAATTGTAAACAGAAACCAAAACAAACAAAAACTTCCAGAAAAAATGACACTGAGCACACGATCTTAACGACATTTTGCCCTCGCAATAATGGCAATACTTCATCTATGTAACTACACCGTTAAAGGTGCAGTCAGAGCTTTAGTGAGTTCGTGTGTGTCCACAGCAGGACTGCACAACAAAGACGTGTCCTGCAGGAGGGACACCAACTCCACAGAATCCGACTGGACTGTTTTCTCCTTTGAGAACTCTGGCTGACAATCAGACTTCTGGTTCTTCTTGCAGACCACTCTCTTCGTGTCACTATAGCCACTCAACCTAGAAGCCAGGGATCTTTTACGGTTAGGCCTCCTCTGCTTCTTTCTCTCGGGGTCATGGATGACGGTGTGTCTCTGGAGGCTCTGTTTCATGGCGAACGTCTTCCCGCAGCCTTCGTGGGCGCAGACGAACTGGCGCACGTTCTCGTGGAAGGAGCCGATGTGGCTCTGCAGGTTGAAGAGCGTGGTGTACGACCTGTCGCAGCCGTCTCTGGGACACTTGAAGACCACTCTCATCTCGGAGTGGACGTGCCGGTGCTGCTCCAGGAACCAGGAGTCCCTGAACTCCTTGTTGCACTGATCGCACTTGACAACGCGCCTGTGGTGCTCCTTCCTGTGCTTCAGCAGCTCCGTCCAGGTCCTCCCCGTGAAGGTGCAGTCCTCCTCCTGGCAGGGGTATCCCTTGTGCACCTTCTCGTGTCTCTTCAGGTTACTGGGGAAGGCGAATCGCATCTGGCAGCCTTCGAAGGAACACTGGTACGGAGGCTGCTGAGCGTGCTGCTCGCACACGTGGGAGTTCAGCTGCTTGTGCTTCCTGAACTCGAGCCCGCAGCCGTCGTGTTTGCAGACGTACTTCTTGTGGTCCCGGCTGTGAATGCGGCTGACGTGTCTGTTCAGGTTAGAGTTGGTGGTGAAGGCCTCCGAGCAGCCTTCTACGGTGCAGAGGAAAGGCTTCGCCCCGGTGTGGCTGAGCTCGTGCCGCGCCAGGTGATACTCGGAGCAGAAGGACTTACCGCAGCCCTCGCGCTCACAGGAGAACGGCTTCACCCCGGTGTGTTTGCACAAGTGAGCGTCCAGCTTCCACTGTTTGTTATAAGCGACCGAGCAGCCGGGAAACGAGCAGAAGTAGCGTTTGTGTGGCTCTTTCTTGACATCCATTTTGGCAAACGCCGGTACTTTCCCAAAACCGCGTTGAAGTGACGTCGCTTCCGACGTAACCCGGAAGTTGCGTTATTTTTCTGCGACACGCAGATGTGTGTTTATCTTTTGCAGCGCACCTAGAACGCAATTTGTAAGTATACTTTGTAGTACACAAGTATGGTATTTAATGATGTGGACTCACTGTCAAATTTATTTAGACTTCTAGTGATTATTTATAAATATCCTGTAAATTTGCGCACACAGGGACATGCACGGTATGCTAGCTAGCTGGTCAATGCTAGCTAGCTAGCTGTTGCTAAATTTGGGTTCATTTTTTTTAAAACATTTACTACAAATTCAGATTAATAATGCATACTCCGAAGTTCATTTTGAATATAATCACTATATTCATCTCTTGAGTGTTGTGAAGCAAGTTAATTTTTACTTATTTATCTTTTTTAAAACTTTTTGGATCTGTTTACAAGCACAACACTAAAGCTAAATTAAGTTGGAGTGTTTGCTACATTGCATTATTCAGCTCCTTCTATGGTAATAGTAATGTATTTTATATTTTTCTGTTAGAAACGGGGTAAATCCAAGACACACTGAGCCCCAGTCGTCACTATGGTAAGCTGTGATCATGTCTTCTCACTTTTAGTAGGGATGTGGATATATTTTTCTATCCCTCATTAATATTAAATCTGACACTACAGACCGAGACCATACAAAATAACACCAAAATCATGTGTTTATCTCAAGTATGAGGGAAGTTATTGATGCTTGTGTAGGCGAAAATCAGCTTAAGTTTTCTTGCTGCAGTTCACAGCAGAACCAATATGAAATTGGCTGTAAATCACCTTGTTGTTATCTATTATTGCTCAAATCGTCTTTCGTGTTCAAGATATCATGAAATAACATGAAATATTAAGAAAAGATTCACTTTCTGGTTTTTGTAGGAAGCATCTTGTATCCTAAAAACAAATAAAACTTGATAATAGCCGACGCAAAAGTAGCAGGAAAGGTACAAAATAATATTACAAGGCAATCTGCAGCATCAAATCAACTTAATGTGTCTTAGAAAGTAAGAACATTAAAAACAATTTCAAAACTATGTGGACATCTGTTTTGTAAACAATGCTCCTCAACCAATGACAGCGTGTTAAATGTGTCAGGTGACGAAAACGAGCGTCAACACACTTCGCTAACAAGCGCTATTACAGATAAAAAAAACATACTTCAACGTTTCAAATCATTGTCAAGTTTGGAACAAGGTCAGATAAAATAATGTTCTTCATGGCAGCTTATCTCTCTAAGGGGTCACTAGAAAAACTCGGGTGATTTACTTTGATCATATTTTCAAATAATTGTCTCTTCAAAACGCATCAACAATAATTAAAAACTCAAAGACGAGGCTGTAGCTAACTACCTGATGTCAGCACGAATTGTTGAAATTCGTTGAAATAATGAAGCAGGAGGAAAAAGCAAATGCACGGAGCAGACTTGCAAAATCTGGTCACATCACAGCAGTTTGAGAAGAAAATGGCAGCAGCTGCTGACAAAATGTCAACATCCCTACTTTTAGCTCTGAGATGTTTGCATCTCCACAATTAAGGGAACCTTTAAACGCACCTGTTTTTTGAAAGAAAACAAACTAATCCTACTATTGAGCCATAAATAACTTTATGCCTTTCTTTAATTCAGAGATAAATATCCATATTCTGTGGTGATTAGATGATCAAATTGTTCTTTACAAATAAATAGACTTTTATGTGCTGTGATTTTACATGGAGTTTCTGCTCCTTAACATTTTGTTTGTATTGTCTTGACAGGGTGAAAGAAAAGGAACAAACAAGTACTACCCTCCTGATTTTGATCCAGCCAAGGTGTATACAAAGAACTAGACCAGTTCTAAATCTTTTTTATATAAATAAGTATTTGTATATGACTGTAAACTAATACTTCTACCATTTTGTGTGTTTAGCATGGATCTCTCAATGGCTACCATAAAACTCACGCTCTGCGAGAGAGGGCCAGGAAGCTGTCCCAGGGCATCCTCATCATCAGGTTAGTGCACTAACTTAAGGAGAAAATAGGAATTGACGTGATCATAGAGTGAAGACCACACTTTTTTTCCTGTAATCCTGCATATTTTAGTCTTCACATTTATGCATCACTTCTAAACATTATATATTTTTACTGACACAGTGTATAGAAAAGAAGGACAGAAAGTAATCCTTGTTTACAGAATTTTTATTAGAGTTTTCTCGATATTCAACCAAAAGGTTTGTGATAACTTAATGTTTGTCCTTTAAGGTTTGAAATGCCCTACAACATTTGGTGTGACGGCTGCAAGAATCACATTGGCATGGGTGAGTTATGGAAAAATGCATTATTTGATCTCAGTTTTTTTTCTTAGTTTGCATATGATCATATGATCTTTTTGTGCAGGTGTTCGTTATAATGCTGAGAAGAAGAAAGTGGGGAACTACTACACCACACCTATCTACAGGTAAACAAACAACCATAAGAAACTATGTTAAAATGATCACTTTCTGTTATTTAAACAGGAATGAGTGGGAAACTCTACAGTATTGTTTCAATCTCACAGTATATTTATGAAACACTTGGAAAACATGAGATATTTCCAAATGTTTTTGTCCCTTTTAACCAGGTTTAGGATGAAATGCCATCTGTGCATCAACTACATTGAGATGCAGACAGATCCAGCGACTTGTGATTATGTTATAGTAAGTGGAGCTCGTAGGAAGGAAGAACGCTGGGACATGGCTGAAAATGAACAAATTCTAACTACAGGTAAAAGTTTGTCTTTTCCAACCAAAATTACTGCTAGATACAGTTTAAGTGTGGAACATTTAACTCTCTAATCAGTCAAACCTGGTCTTTTCTTCAACAGAACGAGCAGAGAAGGAGAAGCTAGAGACGGACGCCATGTACAAACTGGACCATGGTGGGAAAGACAAAGAGAAGCTTACAAAAGCTCTGCCATCTCTTTCTGAAATCCAAGACTACCAGGCAGGCTGGAAGGATGACTTTCAGCTCAACAGCGCCCTCCGCAGGAAGTTCAGAGTAAGATAATGACCTCTTGTAACAACAGCGTAAAAGCCTCCTAATGGGCCCAGTTTGGTAACAAACAATTTTTTGGGGAAAGTATGTGGTTTAGTTTCAAAGTTATCTTTTCATTTTTGACATTTAAAATATCAAAACAAAAAACTGTGAAGTTGTTGCAATATTATCTTTGTAAGTGGTTCTCCAAAGCCTTTTGCAGAGTAAAACTCAGTTTCTTATTTTGTTCTTCAGTTAAATTGGTTTTCCTGGAAATTGGAGCTTAAATTCAAAATTCCAGTATTTGAACAACTTTAGGACCAAATTTTTGCCACAAAAATGTAGGGATGCACGATAACTCATCTTAAGAACCAATACTGATAACTTTCTTCTTCTAATGGCCGATAACTGATAGTAACTGATAACACGCCAGGAGATAAGATGAGTCAGAAATGGGTAAGATCATAACATAAATAAACAAGACCAAAACCAAATGACACTATAAATTATACTATTTGAAATAAACTGTTAGCAAACAAACATTTCTTAAAATATATCAAACAAAACAATTTCTCAAATGGCCATTTTTTAAAATAAGGCACATTAATTATAAAAAAGACCTTTAACACTGATTTCAGATTTAAACAAAAGAGAAAGTCATTCCACAGGTTCAAAACAGATAATTCACTAACACAAGTTAGATTCAAAGTACATTTGTTTTTATTATTATTAATATGATTTAAAACATTTTTCCACCTGAAACAGTGCTTCTGAGATAATAGTGCAGAAATGACAACCTGTCAAAGTGTGAATGCGTTACAACCGCATCAGGAAGACACACAGAGAGCAGCAGCTCAGATGGTAAACCATGGTTAACAAAGAGATAAAAGCTTTGGTCTTTAGCGAGGGTGAACTGCTGCTTGTCATCATTTCCGTCATTAAAGTGTTTGAGATCTGCATCCTCTCTGGAAATTTTAATGGATTTGTCAAAAGCCTCAGCAATGATTTAAGTCCAGACGAGTTCTTGAACACTAGCTTGTTGTTAGCATTTTAGCAGAACGGACTCTGTGCTGCATTCAGGAGGTAACAGACTTTAGATGTTCTCAAATTGGGAGTAGTTGTTCCGATGTTTATAATTATAAAATGTGTGTGTAACATACAGGGTTAATTGGTAAAATAATATTAATAATTCTTAAAATGACTGGTTGCTTTTCAACACGGAGTATTCTAATTATTTTCTTGTGAGAAAGTAGTGTATTCCGACGCAACTTGAACATTGCGTGGGTCATGTCGGACGGGAAGCAGCTTGACTAAAACGGATAAAAATAAACACACATTCACATCGCCATGCTGGCAAACATGAACACATATTATCAGTTCTGTTTGTTATGTTATCGGACTGCTAAGTATGATGTCATAATTCCCTGATATCGGGCCGACATCTATCGTTTACCCCTACAAAAATGAAATCCTAATAACAAAAAGCTAATTTTACCAGCATAAGCAGTGTCCTCCTGGGTGCACTTGGGTTTAAAGCTTCTAATGTGTTTGTAGATTAAATTGAACAGCAATGTTTTTACTGACATTACAGACAGAAAAGAAAGTTCTGGTTGAGCAGGAGGAGAAAGACGATGCTATAAAGATGAGGACAAACTTATCTATACCACTACTGCCAGAGAAAGAAGAGGACAAAAAACTGGCAGCACTGCTAACCTACCAGACACCTGACTGTAAGCACTGTATTGCTCTCACATAGACTGATAAATTATGGCATGATTTATTCAGTATGTCTCTTAAAGATGGCTTTTACTATCTGATTATGGGGCATCTCCGATTACATTGCAGTTTTTCTCAACAGCTTTTAAGCACTTTTGATCCATGTGAAAAAACAGAGTGGAGCTTAATATTCTTCCTTGTTTTTATTTTGTCTTTTTATTCAGCATATGAGGACAAAAAGCAAAGCAAGCGGAAAGAGATAGCTTCTCGGTCTTGGTTTAACGTCGCCTCACCGTCAGCAGGGGGCGCTGCAGGCAGTCTGCTCCATAAACTGAGCCTGCAGGGGAAAGAAGCAGCTGTGGCCAAAGCCCTGGGCTCCTCACACAGCCCCTTAATCCGCAGACGCACAAGTGAATCTGCAAACAAAAATGAACCCTGCGCTACCATCGCCCGTGCAAACTCAGAGGACTGTGATGAAGAAATGGTGAAAGTGGCACAGAAAGACCCCAGTGCAGGATCAGCACATGAGGGGGAGGAAGAAGAGAAAAATAGCTGTGGTTTGAATAAGGTGGATTCCAAAACCAAAGAGGAAGTTTACACAAAACAGACAGACGCAGTGGACCATATGAAGGAGAGCGAAAAGGGAACAAGTTCTGGAGGAGTCGCATCGTTGGTGGCTGACTACAGCGACTCAGATTCAGAATCTACATAATGACACTAAACTAAAATCTAAACGGGACATTTTCTGCTTCCAGAGGACTTGTAATGTGTTTTCTTTCCCCAACATGTTTGAAAATAATACTATCAGCACCTCTTTCAAATTAAAGCTTTGGGCAGCACACAAACCTAGCCTCACCTTCAGAATGTGGTTTTGAATGTGTTTAGTTTACCTGTCCGTCACAGCCTTTAATTAATTTAGATGTTTTTGTTCTTTGTTCTAAAAGGAAACATGCAATCTGAAAATAAAAGTGGCTGATGCTTTACAAAACATAAGTGCATTTCTGTCAATTACTGAACATTCTTTTTTTGTGTTTAGTTTTTTTAAAGACGATAACTACCCAAAGCAGAAATCTCTCACAACAGAAACATTTTACAGTTTCGTTTATTTAGTAGATTTTCTTGTAACATCCACAGTGATCTGACTGTAAGAAAAACAATTAACTAGAGTAAATACAAGGTGTTAGTCTATATGGGCTACTAAAAGGTTATAGTCTCCATGTATATTGTTGATAAGAGTAAAATTAAAGTCAAGTATGTCAAAAACATTGCACAGTTCATACACACACACACACATATATATATACAGTATATATACAGTATATATATATAC